GTGCAGGCGCTCACCTCGCTCGAGGTGTGCCTCCCGGAGGCGCTGCCCGACGACTTGCTCGAGGGCAAGCGGGCTGGTGGACGCAACGCGTTCACCGCCTTCCACACGCGGGGCGTCCGCGTCGTGGTCACCTTCGGCACGCGCGAGCTGACGTGCCTAGGCGAGCCGACGTGGCGGTGTTGGCCGGCGGACTCAGCGCACTGGTACTCGATCGGCCTGCTCCGCCCCTGGTTCAGCGAGTCGCTCCCGCCCGACGAGTGCGAGCGGCGCATCACCGCCCACTTTGAGGCGGGCGCGCACCGCGAGTACCGCGAGCCCAACAAGACGGACCCCAGGCGCTGGCAGTTCGACGACGGCTCGGCAGTTCCGCTCGGCGGCAAGACGCGGCTGCCGGGCTCGGCGTGGCGGATCTGGGGGCTGCGAGGCTACCGGCTGCTCCCGGACGGCGGCGCGCATGGCCGCGACGGCAGCCTCGTGCCCGAGGCCAGCCTGGCGCAGATCGCAAAGGAGGAGCTGCTGCCGTGGCCCGGCGCCGCCCTCGACTGGCGGCCCTCGGAGGCGGACGCGGAGTGCTGGTTCCGCCCCCTCGACGAGGAGACGACGGCGGCGCTCTTGCGGCTGCAAGCGGGTCTGCGCGCGCAGCCGGCGCGGCCGCAGGGGCCGCAGGGGCCGCAGGGGCCGCAGGGGAGCAGGGGCAGCAGGGGCAGCAGGGGCAGCAGGGGCAGCAGGGCGGGGTGGTCGACGGTCGGAAGGCGGACACTCGCGTCGGGCGCGTGGTGTGGCACCTCGCGCCGACGGGCCCCCGCGCGATGGTCGTCGTCGGCCACGCGTCGTGGGGAGGCGGCAATGAGAAGAGCGGGCTGCGGCTCAAGGCGCTGCCGACGGCGGGCGAGCTCGCGGGGCCTTGCGCCGCGCTGCCCCCGCTTCCGAAGGCGGAGCAGTTGACTGCAGACGTCCTCGCGCCCGTCTCGCACGTCCTCGCCTTCAACGCGCTGCTCGACGCGGCGTGGTGCAAGCCGAGCGGCCTAGCGGCGGGCGCCGAGACCGTCGCTTCGAGCAGCGCAGGCGGCAACGACCAGGGGCTGGGCGCGTTGGGCAAGCGCACAGCGGTGCCGTGCGACTTGGGTGCGGGTGCCAAGCGCCAGCGGCCCGGCGCGGGTGAGTCCGCGCGCTCGCTGCCGCCGAGTGAGGTGCCGGGCCGCTGCGCCGAGGTGCTGGAGGGACTACGCCGCGTGCCTCGCTTTATGGATCAGAGCCCGGAGGAGTTCTGGCTCAAGCACGGGCCAGCCGGACCGTTCCCCTTCCCTGAGCGCTGGCTGCATTGAGGGCGGAGCTGGGGGGGCTGTTTCAGGGGGCGGCGCTGTCACACGGGCGCGTGTAAGACTGGCTGGCTGGGGAGGACATTGCGAGCGGGCGGGGACCGGGGCGAGCGTGGGGGCAACGGCCAACGCACTCACTGGCTGGAGAACGCCAACACTCAGAATGAATTAAATAAAAGAAAGAAAACATACAGCCAAGGGAGCGATGGGAGCACTGCATCAATTTTTTCGAACCCGCGTATTTCTTTGCGAGGTCCACTCGCGGCGCGGCCACATGACCGTCTGGTCGGCGGAGGCGATCGCGCGTCGAGAGACCAAGCGCGGTCGCACAGCGCTGGACAGGTCCGAAGACCGCAAAAGGCAAAAGGGAACGTTGTGCGAGGCAGACGCTGACCCTCGACTCTCACCGCTGCTCGCCTTCATCACCGAGGTCGTCGGCCCGCTCGGCGCGCCGTTCTGGCCAGCTAGCTCGGCCGCCGCCGCGCCTGCTGACACCTCTGCCGCTCCCGACGATCTCGAGGAAGGAGAGATTGCTCTACCGCTTGGGAGCGATGAGTCTGCCCAACCTGAAGCGGAGGCGCGGCGGGCCGCTGCGGGCGCCACCGGCACCGACGGCCTTCTGTCCAACGTCACGGTCAGCTCCACCTCAGGGAAGACAGTCTACTGGCAGTGCACGGTCTGCTCCGCCAGGTTCAGGGGTCGGCAGAGCCTCGCGGATCACACGTTGGCCAAAAAGGACCCTCCGCATCGGAGAGTGGCGGAGGCCGATGAGTTTATTCGGTCGTGCGCCGAGACCAAGGCCGCGCGGAAGGCACGTGACGCGGCGGCGGATCTCGTTCGCGTCGATGACCTCCTCGTGCAGCGCGGCCACTGCAAAACAAGGGGCGAAGCCGCGAGGCTCGTCCAGGCCGGGCGCGTGCTCACAAGAAAGGCAGCCGGGCAGCCCCAGGTCTTGGTCAAGGCCGTGGGCTTGAAGCTAGCGCACGACGCGCCCTTCTCCCTCTCCGACCCCGCGGCCAGCTGGGAAAGCGAGGTGGCCTTGGTCCACCAGTGGGTCGCTGACGGGCGGCCTCTCAAGGCGCTCATCGGGCACCGCGCGCAGGCTGCTGCCGGCGACGCGAGCGCTCCGCCCGCTCTTGCTGACCCGCCCGTCGCTGAGGCGGCGGCCGGCGCGGAGGCGGACTCCCAGGCCGTGGCGCTGGTGGCCGAATCTGCCCCTCTCGCCGCGGCTCGCACATCCCACCTCCCCGCCCTCCTCGCCTTCATCGCATCCCGCCCAGGCCAACGCCTCCGCGGCTCGTCCGGCATCGCTGAGTTCTACAAGGCGCACCCAGAAGCCAAGGGCCAGCTCCCCAAGCTCGCCCAGCTCGCCGAACAATGCCCGCAGATAAAGATCGAGGTCCTCAAAGCCGGCGATCCCTGGCTCACGCTGGCATCGCCTGCACCATCCGCACCGCCCGCCAGCGCCCCTCAGCGCGGCGCAGCCGGATCCGACCTGGACTCTTCGCCGCCGA